TTCGCGTTCGTTTATTGAAATTTCTGGCACTTTTATTCAGCGTTCAACTGCTCTGTTCGCTCACTGATCACGTGATTACGGCTCCGCTCAGCACGCTCTGCTCTTTGAGCAAAATACCGAACGCAAGGAGTGACTCAATACACCTTCTATACTACACATACATTAACCCTTTTCACGTGGCTCCGGTTTAACAAACCGCAACATACCGCTCAAATTCGAGTGGTAGGTATCCATCACGTCACTTTGTAACCGGGTTACAAAACGGTATGTCATTTCTCTAACCGTTTTGTAACCCGGTTAGTTAAACCGGAGCCACGTGAAAAGAACTAATGGTGACCAATGTAGCGACCAAAAGAGGTCCCGCTGCCATATTCTAGCTAATTTTAAATAGAATTTAAAAGTTAGCCACGTGAATATGAATACATAGGAGAATCAATCAAACAGGACGGCAACTCTCACCACTGGTCTATACTCTATAGTCACTGTAAAAATCATTTACAGTGACTAAATAAACCTTTACAGACAAAAGAGGTCCTGCCGCCATTTTGCAAGATGATACACACTAGCTGCTTTCGGAAATGTAAATCCTGGATGAAGTAGGTTAATATCCGCTGATCGCGGTTTAGGGCCGAGTTCAGAAATTACGCACAGGGTGCGAGTGCAATTTTATGGATGTGCCTGAATTGACAATTGGCCTTTGGCCCCATATAGCACCGTCTAGCATTTTTGAACAGCTAGGGCGTCGCACCGGTGTCACACTCACACTGGGTGTGTCATTCCTGAACTCGCCCTAGCTCGTTGTCAGAGTAGATCATTAGGCAATTCAATCCATCTGTCAAAAAGGAAAATTCAATGTGGCGTGGCCGCCAGGCAAGTTTGTTTTGAATATGTTTTTATGCGTATTTTAAATTATTTTGCATAGAGTTTTGCTTACAACTTTGATTTTCATTATTTAATAAAATATTTGTTAACTAGGTACCTAAACTATTAATTCGGGCAGAAACAAGATATTTTTTGTGTTTTTTGGGCCATGTGTGGCCGCCACGCCATCTTGAATGTCACGTGGTTTGAAAAGCCTAATTCAACGTTTCCGAACGATTGGGATCGACGATCGCCGGTACCCGCGTTTGTTTTTTTCGTTTTTCTTTAACGATTTGAGGTTAGGTCTTTACCTTTGTGGCCGGTTTGCCACACCTTTGACTTTTCAATGACACTGCTTGTGTTGTTTTTGGTTAAGTCTGCACTCCAATCTGTAATCCCGTTAATTCAAACACAAAACTTGACAAAGCGGAAACAAAACATATAAAATAAACATAACATTTAACCAAAAAAATCAAACAGCTGATGATTAATTTTCTACCCATGTCAAGAGTAGGGTTAACGAGATCACAAATATAATATGAGGAAACCGAGTCAACAAGATGACTTACCGAACGCGAGTACTTGACTTCAGATCATTTTACGAACGATAAGATTAGAGAGTTCTCGTGCTGTTCAAATTCCAAATACCGTAACGCTATTTGACAAATATGACAGTTCTTACCGTATTAGCGTTAGCGGAGCCCGCTACCTAACGGGACTTAGCGGATGCCTTACCGTAACGCTATGCTATGTCAAAATTTAGTTTACGTTGCATTTTTTCCATTTACGTCTGCAAAAACAGCAACTTCTAATAATTCCTCCATAAAAAACACCAATTAATGAAATTCAGGAATCATTAGGATAAATAAAAGTTAGAAAACAAGCAAAAAAAAAGTTAAGTTAGTTGTCAAAATGTAAACAGAATAAGGGATAAGAGGATTTCTGTATCTCTGTGTCCGAGAACTATAAAATACCATGTAAAATACCGTATTGTTAGCGGTACCGTATTAGCGTAGCGTCTGAGGCACGAGAACTTTCTAATACTAATCCGATCTAACCGATTAGTCGGATCACACTTTCCAAAAACAGCTACTACTATCAAAAACTGTGCTACCAAGGATGATACACAACTACAGGATTGCTTATCGGCTTCGTTTTTGATAATCGCCGCCATATTGGTGTGTTACTAATGTTACCATTTCCGACGTCATAACTTTGTTACTCACAGGCTTAGAGCAGGTAAAGGTGAAAAGGAGTAGTAACATGGAGTTAGAAAATGAAGCCGTTTTTTTTCAGGTATTTTGGCACCAAAAAAATGGCGGTATAGAGACAATTCAATGCTTTACCTTTACCCATTGGCTTTACTTGTATTTTGGTGCCAAACACTTGCCAAAAACTTGGCTTCACTTCAATTTCATAAGCAGAATGGCGCGTTCCTACTCCTCATGTCCGTAGGACAGCGTTTTTACCCGCTCTAAGCTCACAGGCCTTATGAGGAGGATAGGCCATCCTTTAGTAGTAGTGTGTATTATCCTACGGACATAAGGAGTAGGAACGCGCCATTCTGCTTATAAAATTGAAGTGAAGCCAAGTTTCCGATTGGTAGATCTAGTGCAGAACTAGTGCAATTTTTTCTATTTCTGTCTTTTTCTTCTACGGGTCGATTAAAAGGATGCAAATACACTCAGTGCGCACTAAATCTACCAATCGGAAACGCCATAAAGTGAAGCCAAGTTTTTGGCAGGTGTTTGGCACCAAAATACAGGTAAAGCATTGAATTGCCTATACCGCCATTTTTTTGGTGCCAAAATACCTGGAAAAAAACGGCTTCACTTTCCAACTCCATGTTACTACTCCTCTTTACCTTTACCTGCTCTAAGGTATTATTCTTGAGACACGACTACTACAGGATAGCCTATCCTCGTAAAGCTTAATTTTCACTTGCGCGAAATTTGCTCTTTTTTGACATTGCTTCGACAATTTGACGTTTGATACATGCATAAAACATCAAATTGTCGAAGCAATGTCAAAAAAAGAGCAAATTTCGCGCAAAAAGAGCGAACTTCGCGCAAGTGAGAATAAGGCTTAAGGCCTGTGTGGAACAAATCCCCCCTTCCCCCTTTCCAAATCACCAGTTGTGAGTGACAGCATGGTATTTCTCGCCTTGACGTAGGCTGTTCAAACAGCTGACGACATAGTTATGACGTCGGAAATGGTGACACACCAATATGGCGGCGATTACTAAAAACGAGGCCGATAAGCAATCCTGTAGGTGTGTATTAGCCTTGGCCATTTTGTGCCCTACCTCTTGCTAATTTTAAATATGAATATATAGGATTTAAATGAACATCTATCATACAATATTGAAAACAACGTATTTGATGACTATTATGCGTTGTTTTCAATTTTTTACGATGGATGTTCATTTAAATTCTATATATTCATATTTAAAATTAGCAAGAGGTAGGGCGGGCACAAAATGGCGGCGCTTCCTATATGAATATATGGATTTTAAAGAACCAACCGAATTTTCGCGACAAATGTAGTTCATCAATAGTTCGTCCAAGGACGAACCATAGCTCGTCTTGTGACGTCATGAGTTTGAACGCTGGCTTGAAGCTGCGTGCATGCTTCCGGCGAACTACCTTTAGTATGACGTCATGAGTTTTTCGCGAAAGCGTTTGTGTTTATGAAATCAAGAGAGTAGCTCGTCGCAAAAATTCAGTTGTCGGCACTGTGGTTTAATCAGTGAAATGTTGTTTAATAGTCACTGTAAAATCAGTTGCAGTGACTTAATTAACCTTCACAAATAGTGATGACAATAGAGGTCCCGCCGCCATTTTGTGTCCTACCTCTTGCTTAATTTTCAAAAATAAGACAGCAGGGTTGCGTTCGAGAACTTGGTGTGTCGTATAAAAATCACACAGCTGCCGTTCGAAAAGGCGGAGTGTGGATAAAAATCATACGGTTTTGGACGTTCGGAAAGGTGGTTGTTACGTACTGGTGCGCGCACCGGACACTCTAGTCCTGACTCTAGAGTGAAATTTAAGCTGACATATATGACATTACATTTTGTTTATTATTGAGCTATTATTGTATTAATTATGTGATTTGATTACTCTGATTTGCTTATATAATTATTAATATGGTCAATATGGAAGAACAAGTTTCTTTAAAGGTTGAAACATTAGTGTGGGAAACGAACAGAATGCAGAAGGCATTTTGGCTTTTAACTCAAAAAAATAAGACTTATCAACTAAGAATTAGGAATTACATAAGCGCACGTTGAAATTCTTAGTTGTAAGTTAATTTTCTTAAATTAGTTAAGTGTTAATTTTTTTTATAAACTCGCCATAAACCACTCGATCGGCGTTCGAATACCTAGAGTAAGATTCGCACACCAAAGTGTGTCGGACCCCCACTCCTTGAAATAATTTTCACACCAACAACCAGGTTCCCGAACGCAACCCAGGGGCGAGTTCAGGAATGACACACTCAGTGTGAGTGTGACACCGGTGCGACGCACTAGCCGTTCATAAATGCTATAAGCACACCGAGTGCGCGCACTCTGTTCCGTTCAGAAAGTACTTTGGGCGCGCTCCAGGTGTCGCACCGGTCACACCATAATTTTTCGTGTGGTTGTGGTGTGATTGTGTCTTTATGTCAACAATGTCAACCATTCCTCCCATAATCCCAATAATCCCACCAAATATAAACAAAACACAAATTAAAGAATTAAAGTTTTTTGTTCACATTAGAAAAATTAACAACAAAAAAAAAACAATCTTAATAGATTTGGTGAAATTTTTGAGGAGATGCTCGATTGGTCACACCAAGCGTTCAGAAATTCATACGAAAGTTGTCGCCTAGAATTCTCATTTTAGTCACACCCATAAAATCGCACTCACATCCGGTGTGTTATTTCTGAACTCGCCCCAGTTGTCGCCACTGTGGCGTCATTGTAAAATCAGTAGTCACTGTAAAATCAGTCAATACAACGCTCTCTTCGGATAGTTATGGAGTACTATTTAATCCTACTAGTACCATAGTCGTAATATTTTCCGCTAGATGGCAGGATTTTTTGTATGCATTTTATGCATATACGATGGTTTCAACTCTAAAAAGATCCATACATTTTTTCCACCCACTGCGCACGCTCTCTAAAACGAAATCCACTAACCATTCTAAAAAAGTCGATTCATGGCTTGGGCCCCTTTGTTTATCCATTGAAAATTTACAGTTTTATCTCATTTATTAGTTTAATTTGGTGTGAGTGAAAATACTGTCCGCTATGGATGACCCGGGACGCATGATGGGCCATGGAGGCGCCGGCCTGATGCCCCCACAACCTTATGGAATGAACCCCCAAGGTAAGGCCAATAATAGTACTTTTGATCAATCCCCATCTAATTTATGTTATGCCCAAAATGTTTATTCTCCTAACTATAGAATACCTGCAATAGTAGTTGAAACTTCAAGCTTTTTATGCTACAGGGGTACTGAGAAAAATTCTTAAAATTTTTGGAGAATATGCACAGATGCAGTTGAAGCTGTGCTGCCTCTCCCTATTTATAGATATAAAAGTATTTGAGAGGATTTGGCTTGCTGATTTTTGGTTTTTGACTACTATTTTCCAAAGTTTTTTTGATACTATTCAAGAATAAAAAAATACCTAAACCTAATGTGATCTGAATCATACAGGGTGTCCAGAATAACTTGAAGTACATAGGGATTTCGAAAACCATTGAAGATACAAGGTGGACCAAATGGGGAAAAAGTTATACAATCAAGTGCCTGAAAATAATCTTTCATCAACTTCTTTGATGTTGGAATCTGTGGTTCCAATGGTTTCCAAAATCCCCATGTAGGTACTTCAAGTTATTCTGGACACCCTGTATAGGTGATTTCGGTATAGCATGCCATTTTGCCCAGCAAATATTAAGATTGTAAACTAAGTACTTAGGTAGTTCACCTACAAAAATTTATAGTATTCTTGAACTTCCAAAAACATATGGAAATGCATCTGTACAGGAAGGAGAATGCAATTTGCACCAATCAGGATTTCATGAATTTGGAGCCTCAGGATGGGGGGTTCATTATTCTGTCTAAAAGTGTCCAAATTGGACCACCCTGTTCATAAAAGGAATAATTTATTTCAAGATTCTTTCACAAAAACCTAAAATAAATAATTAATAGTTTCTTTAAATTGATAATAATAGTGAAATTGAAGTTATCATCAAGACAATAATTATCCTAAGATCCCCAGCAGACTGAAGTCCTGTAAAAAAATTTCATCTTACAATATCCTTCCAGACACTAGAAAACTTTTTAAAAATCTCTATGCCTTAAATATATGCAAATAGTAAGAATCAAACCTCCTCCAATCTATTAAATCATCATTATTTCACTCTATAATAATATGCTTCTTTTTGTTAGTTAAAGTTTCTTAAGTATTTCGTAAAACAGGAGATACACCATCAGGAGACAATGAACCCCGTAAACAGGACATTGGAGAAATTCTACAACAAATCATGAACATCACCGACCAGAGTTTGGACGAAGCGCAAGCCAGAAAGCACACCTTGAATTGCCACAGAATGAAACCGGCCCTGTTTTCAGTTTTGTGCGAAATCAAGGAGAAAACTGTACTTTCGTTGAGGAACACTCAAGAGGAGGAACCACCAGATCCACAGCTGATGAGGTAACAAACAACATATTGCACTTAAAATATTTTGTTAATGTATTATTATTTTTAAAGGCTTGATAACATGTTGATTGCTGAGGGTGTAGCAGGACCTGAAAAAGGTGGAGGAGCTGGCGCCGCAGCTTCTGGTTCGGCAGCAGCTCAAGCAGGACAACCTGACAATGCAATCGAGCACTCAGATTATAGGGCAAAGTTGGCTCAGATCAGGCAAATTTATCATCAGGAGTTAGAGAAATATGAACAGGTATAGTGTATAGTAAAAAAAAGGAAATTACACACCTAGAACAATATTCTTTATTTGAATCTCTAATACTGAAGGGTGTTTTTTTCAGACTTCTCAAATTAATCTGTTACCTCTCATGTTTAAAGAGAAATTAACAATTTTTGGTTTTTAGAAGTTAATTTACAGTAATTTTGGGTCCAGAGACATAAATATGATTACTTATAACTTACTTCTGATAACTTTGCTCGGGATAATACAGGAAAAAAAAACTGTTCAAAGCTAAGAAATAATAATGCAAATTTGTTGCAAATTACCCTAATTTAGTTTAGGTAATTCCAAGGGGCAAACCACCTAGGAATTCTTTGCCAAAAATGTGGGGAATTTAGAAGAATTTGTGAGAATTCATCCGAAATTATGAGAATTTGGGGAATTTGGAGGAATTTATAGGGAATTTGGGAGAATTTGTGAGGAATTTATAAGGAGTTTAAAAAGGAAATTGTCAATAGTAATATAACTAGTGCAATGGAAATTATTGATAATTTTTGGGAAATTTGCCCGAATGCATTTTTAGTTGAAAAAGAGCACGAGTGCACTGTGCACTCGTGCCTTTTTCAGTTAAAAACGCATGAGTGCAAATTTGTCGAAAATTATAAATATATTTCCATTGCACGAGTTGTATTTAATGAGAGAATTTCATAAATCAAAAATTTAAATTTTTTGTCAAAAAATGTCAAAACACCAGTTTTCGCACCAGGGGGGGTTTATTTGAAATGTGCAATTCAAATTCGTCCGACTAAGTCGCATTTTTTAGCATTGAAATACCGGCAAAAATTGCGACTTAGTCAGACGTATTTGAATTGCACGTTTCAAATAAACCCCTCCAGTTAGTATGCAATTATCTGATAATTTGCACTAGTGCAAATTATCACGTAATTACAATCTGATTGGTTCAAATCAACAATCAAAACATGTCAATTTATTGTTGGAATACCAGTTTTGACAGATGTATGAAATTCTCAAATTTAAAAAATTCAAAAAAATAATGAATACAGTTTTTGTAGGTTGATTTCCAAGATTTTTCATCTTACTGTTTTTCACTGGAAAAATTTGAAATTTTGAAAAAATGATCTTCTTCCTCTTTACATGCAAAAAGTTTCAAAATGTTCCCTTCACTAGTTTTCGAAGAAAACTTTGAAATGAGTGAAACTGTATTTTCAACTAATTCAGTTTTTGTAGGTTGACTTCCAAGATTTTTTATGTTGCTGTTTTCTACTGGAAAAATTTGAAATTTTGGGAAAATGAGCGTCTCACCTTCCTCTTTACATGCAAAAAGTTTCAAAGTGTTCCCTTCACTAGTTTTCCAGGAAAACTTTGAAATGTGTGAGACTGTATTTTCAATTAATTCAGTTAGTTTAGGTTGATTCCCAAGATTTCTCATGTTGTAATTTTCTACTAGAAAAATTTGAAATTTTGGGAAAATGAGCTTCGCACCTTTCTCTTCACATTCAAAAAGTTTCAAAATTTTCCCTTCACTAGTTTTCTAAGAAAACTTTGAAATGTGTGAGACTGTATTTTCAATTAATTCAGTTATTGTAGGTTGATTTCCAATATTCCTCATGTTGTTATTTTCCACTGGAAAAATTAGAAATTTTGGGAAGATGAGCCTTCAACCTTTCTACTCTTCACACGCAAAAAGTTTCAAATTTTTGCCTTCACTAGTTTTCCAGGAAAACTTTGAAATGTGTGAGACTGTATTTTCAATTAACTCAGTTATTGTAGGTTGATTTCCAATATTTTTCATGTTGTTATTTTCCACTGGAAAATTTCGAAATTTTGGGATAATGAGCTTCTCACCTTCCTCTTAACATGCAAAAAGTTTCAAAATTTTCCCGTCATTAGTTTTCCAGGAAAACTTTGAAATGTGTGAAACTGTATTTTCAACTAATTCAGTTTTTGTAGGTTGACTTCCAAGATTTTTCATGTTGCCGTTTTCTACTGGAAAAATTTGAAATTTTGGGAAAATGAGCGTATCACCTTCCTCTCTACATGCAAAAAGTTTTAAAATGTTCCCTTCACTAGTTTTCCAGGAAAACTTTGAAATGTGTGAGTCTCACACACTATTTGCAATTAATTCAGTTATTGTAGGTTGATTTCCAATATTCCTCATGTGGTTATTTTCCACTGCAAAAATCTGAAACTTTGGGAAAATGAGCTTCTCACCTTCTTCTTTACATGCAAAAAGTTTCAAAATTTTCCCTTTACTAGTTTTCTAGGAAAACTTTGAAATGTGTGAGACTGTATTTTCAACTAATTCAGTTTTTGTAGGTTGACTTCCAAGATTTTTCATGTTGCTGTTTTCCACTGGAAAATTTTGAAATTTTGGGAAAATGAGCTTCTTAGCTTTCTCTTTACATGCAAAAAGTTTCAAAATTTTCCCTTCACTAGTTTTCCAGGAAAACTTTGAAATGTGTGAGACTGTATTTGGAACTTATTCAGTTTTTGTAGGTTGACTTCCAAGATTTTTCATGTTGCTGTTTTCTACTGGAAAAATTTTAAATTTTGGAAAAATGAGCATCTCACCTTCCTCTTTACATGCAAAAAGTTTCAAAATGTTCCCTTCACTAGTTTTCCAGGAAAGCTTTGAAATGTGTGAGACTGTATTTTCAATTAATTCAGTTATTGTAGGTTGATTTCCAATATTCCTCATGTTGTTATTTTCCACTAGAAAAATTTGAAATTTTGGGAAAATGAGCTTCTCACCTTCTTCTTTGCATGCGAAAAGTTTCAAAATGTTCCCTTCACTAGTTTTCCAGGAAAACTTTGAAATGTGTAAGACTGTATTTTCAATTAATTCAGTTATTGTAGGTTGATTTCCTAGATTATTCATGTTGCTATTTTTCACTGGAAAATTTCGAAATTTTGGGCAAATGAGCTTCTCACCTTCCTCTTTACATACAAAAAGTTTCAAAATTTTCCCTTTACAAGTTTTCTAGGAAAACTTTGAAATGTGGGAGACTGTATTTTCAACTAATTCAGTCATTGTAGGGTGATTTCCAATATTCCTCATGTTGTTATTTTCTACTGGAAAATTTTGAAATTTTGGGAAAATGAGCTTCTTAGCTTTCTCTTTACATGCAAAAAGTTTAAAAATTTTCCCTTCTCTAGTTTTCCAGGAAAACTTTAAAATATGTGAGACTGTATTTTCAACTAATTCAGTTTTTGTAGGTTGACTTCCAAGATTCTTCATGTTGCTGTTTTCTACTGGAAAAATTTTAAATTTTGGAAAAATGAGCATCTCGCCTTCCTCTTTACATGCAAAAAGTTTCAAAATTTTCCCTTCACTAGTTTTCCAGGAAAGCTTTGAAATGTGTGAGACTGTATTTTCAATTAATTCAGTTATTGTAGGTTGATTTCCAATATTCCTCATGTTGTTATTTTCCACTAGAAAAATTTGAAATTTTGGGAAAATGAGCTTCTCACCTTCTTCTTTGCATGCGAAAAGTTTCAAAATGTTCCCTTCACTAGTTTTCCAGGAAAACTTTGAAATGTGTAAGACTGTATTTTCAATTAATTCAGTTATTGTAGGTTGATTTCCTAGATTATTCATGTTGCTATTTTTCACTGGAAAATTTCGAAATTTTGGGCAAATGAGCTTCTCACCTTCCTCTTTACATACAAAAAGTTTCAAAATTTTCCATTTACAAGTTTTCTAGGAAAACTTTGAAATGTGGGAGACTGTATTTTCAACTAATTCAGTTATTGTAGGGTGATTTCCAATATTCCTCATGTTGTTATTTTCTACTGGAAAAATTTGAAATTTTGGGAAAATGAGCTTCTCATTTTTCTCTTTACATGCAAAAAGTTTAAAAATTTTCCCTTTACAAGTTTTCCAGGAAAACTTTAAAATATGTGAGACTGTATTTTCAACTAATTCAGTTTTTGTAGGTTGACTTCCAAGATCTTTCATGTTGCTGTTTTCTACTGGAAAAAATTGAAATTTTGGGAAAATGAGCGTCTCACCTTCCTCTCTACATGCAAAAAATTTCAAAATTTTCCCTTCACTAGTTTTCTAGGAAAACTCTGAAATATGTGAGACTGTATTTTCAATTAATTCAGTTATTGTAGGTTGATTTCCAATATTCCTTATGTTGTTATTTTCCACTAGAAAAATTTGAAATTTTGGGAAAATTTGCTCCTCACCTTCCTTTTTACATGCAAAAAGTTTCAAAATGTTCCCTTCACTAGTTTTCCAGGAAAACTTTGAAACGAGCTTTGAAATGTGTGAGACTGTATTTTCAAATAATTCAGTTTGTGTAGGTTAATTTCCAGGATTTTTCATGTCACTGTTTTCCTCTGGAAAACTTTTAAATTTTGGGAAAAAGTTCTTCTCACCTTCCTCTTTACATGCAGAAAGTTTCAAAATTTTCCCTTTTTTTAGAGGAATTTGTGGGGTATTTGGAGAAGTTCGTGCTGGGGTATTTGGAGGAATTTGTGATAGGGTATTTGGAGGAATTTGCAGGAATTTTGAGGAATTATAAGAAAAAAATTCCCCTTTGAGGAATTATTTGCACCAATTCTGGGATGGTGGTTTACCTCTTGGGTAATTTAAACCAACTCAAAGACAAAATGTCTTAATTTTCCATTTATCAAACATGTTTTTATTGATTTTTCTCTGTTGCAGGCTTGTAATGAGTTTACTACACACGTAATGAATTTGCTAAGAGAACAGTCAAGAACGAGGCCCATTACCCCAAAAGAAATTGAAAGAATGGTGCAAATTATCCATAAAAAGTTCAGTTCGATTCAGATGCAGCTGAAACAGTCTACTTGTGAAGCAGTGATGATACTGAGGTAAACCCATAAATTCTTTCTGCAAATACTTGTTTCTAAAACTTGGATTCTTTGATTTCAGATCACGATTTTTGGACGCCCGCCGTAAAAGACGAAATTTCAGCAAGCAGGCTTCTGAAATTTTAAACGAATACTTTTATTCGCACCTAAGCAATCCTTACCCTAGTGAAGAGGCCAAGGAGGAATTGGCGAGGAAATGTGGTATCACTGTTAGCCAGGTCTCGAATTGGTTCGGCAATAAGAGGATCAGGTGAGAATTTCTTCTGTTTGTTTTTTTGCTTAGTTTTATTTTTCATTAATTTCAAAAATGAAATATTACTAGTTGAGAGTTATTGGAATTTTTAAATTATTTTGTGCAATATTAAGGAAAGTCCTTGTTTAACTTTTGGCAAAATGAGTTATTGAAACTTGTGTTTTGAATATAAAAAATCTGGGAAACTTTACCTTTTGTACTGTAGTTGGAAATACAAGTTTCAGTACTGTTTGATCAATTCTATACTATGGATGCACAAAGTAACTCCATGTCCTTATATTGATTCTAATAACTCTTAAATAGTAATAATATTAGGGAAGATGTTTTGTTTTTAAATATTCAGGCTAGTTTTATTTGGTAGGTACAAGCGGAACACAGGTAGGTATGTTTCAATGCAGACAATTCGAACTCTCTAAACAAACTCTTTTTAAAAACAGCACCTGTTTTGTCATTATGTTATTGCTGCTTCGTTTTTAAGATTTGTTGTTTGTTCAAAATACGTGTCATGTATTGAAAGCTGGTCTTTACTGTTGAATAGAACAAATGGGAAAATATATTCGACTTTTTTCAATTTTTGTCTAAGCAAATTTAAGAAAAGTATTTTAAACAAATAAATTCCATTTTGTTCCATTTGAAACAGCAAAAGAAAAATCGTCATCCCAGCAAACAAATCGGTGAAAAAAAAAAAAAAAGAGCCCAAGTAGAAATTTCGAATTTTCTCTCTCAGGTACAAAAAGAACATAGGCAAGGCGCAGGAGGAGGCCAACCTGTACGCTGCTAAGAAGGCGGCTGGCGCGTCACCGTACTCTGGCACCCCGACTCCGATGATGTCGCCAGCGCCGCCCCAGGATTCCATGGGCTACTCGATGGGTTCCGCCTACGACCAGGGCTCAGCGTACGACGCCAGTAGCTGTGGGTACGATCCTATGCACGGACAGGAGCTGTCGCCATAAGTTTGACTTATAAGTAGGTGAAGGCACTGATTAAAGGACAATGTTTATCCAAAATAAGAAACAAATTATAATCTTTTATTTATTTATTTTGATAAACCTTGTCCTAGTTTTTGAGCTTATGGCTGCAGCGAATGAGACTCATTTTTTTTTTTGCTTTGATGCTTAAATTCTTTCAACCTTTTTTTGGTGCCCAGTAATAGGTTTTTGTGTTGTCGCTTGATGTTTTTTTTTTGTTTGGTGTGATGGTAGATTGCATGTGCTAGTATACTTATAGAAACAGTAATTCACTATACAAAGGTGAAAGAAATTGTTGGTATAATATTACTTTGAGGAAAACAAGGACATAGAAATATTAGAACAGCATTAATATTCATTTGCCAACTATCAAACAAAGCCTCATTTGCACCTGTCAATTTTTGTTATGAAGAATGTTTCAATTTTTTGTTTGCATGCCCTGTAGATTATTTTTGCTCCTTCTAATTTCAAATAATTCTTAAATACCAAGATTCCAATCTTTTTACAGATCTCTAGACAGCATGTATCCGAAACTAGAACAGTAAAAATAATCCTTCTTTGGCGGGCCTTCTGTGACGTCTTTAAGATGAACTTGGGTGTAACTTGTGCGTTTTTAGTTAATTACGGCTTGAAATAAATTTTGTTGGTAGAAGCTTTACCGACAAAATCAAGTAAACAATCTTCCCTTTTCAAAATACGTATACTAGCTATTAATGTATACCATGCAATTGTATACTAATACATTTTAGTAATAACGGAACGTGCATTATTTAGTTTTTTACTTAATATTTTGTGGTGTATTTACCATGGTTAGAAAATAAGGAGATTTTATTTTTAGCTGTCGGTACACTTTGTTACTGCACAATTTTAATGGGCAAAATGTTCCATTTTAACTTAATTGGATTTCAGTATTTTCTGTAAAAATTATTCAATTAATTTTGTTGTGTTTTAAGATATATTTTTTTGATTCTTTGTATGTTCTTTTCGTTTTTTTTGTTTGACATTGATGCAATATTTAATTTACTTAAACTTAAGGAAGTGCTCAATAAAATGAAAAGTCTTGGATGAAAGTGAAAGGAGCATATTCAGATGAGGATGAAAGTATTATTAAATTATTATTTGTGTGAAATTTTACCTGCTTCAAGCCCAATGTTTAAATTTTTTTTTAAGTTAGATGTAGGGAATGAATTGAGCAGCTTTAATGTTGTAATTTTTAACTTTAAAGTATTTTGTGGTGAATCCCAGATAAGATATTCACTTAATTTTTTATGTAATTTATCTGATTGTCTGTAATAATAAAAATGATATCGAAAGTATTTTAATGATGTTTTATTTGGGGATTATGGAAGAATGATGGTAAAAGAACAAAGTGTTTAGAATTTTTTTATTTAATTCATTTAAATACCTTAAGTCTAAAATTAGAATATACAGTGTGTCCACTTAAGTTCGCAGCATATGGGAAACTTTTTTATTATCAATTTTACGAAAAAAAGTTATTCATTATAATAGTTTCTACTTCTTGATAAAAATATATTAAATTATTAAAATTAGAACTAGCATGTACAGGGTGGTCAGAAAATGGGAAAATATACAGGGTGTTTCCAAAGTACGGTTCATCAACATGTATCTGGAAATGCGTAATTTCTGAGATACAGGGTGTCAAAGTTTTGAAAAAAAAAGGTTTTTTTTAGCTCAAAAATTCCTTTTCCAATATTTTTTTTTGAAATTTGGCAGGTTTGTTTGTGACAACAAAGGGTATCTTTTGACTGTAATATGACTTGCTTGATCTGAAAAAAACATAAAAATTATAAAAAAATAGTGAGGTGCCATTTTTTTCTCACCTTGTATATTTTTCTATTTTCTGACTACCCTGTACAGGGTCGTCCAAATAGGACACTTTCTTATGACAACACCCTTTATTTATTAGAGATAGAAAAAAAATGAATCCCTCACTCAAAATTAAGAAGAATTCACCTCTTATATTTTAATTTTTTTTTTCAGAAATCTGGCAAAAGGAAAATAGTGAAATTTTTCCAGAAGAAAAAGAAAAGTGAGGAGCTCATAATAGGAAAATTTCAAAATTTTCCAGTGGAAAATCCCTCCAGGAAAAATTCTGAAAAAATGACTTTTTCAAGTAAAATTAAGAAAAACTCATATTTCAATTTTTTTCTGGAAAACTGGCAAAAGAGGAAAGTCAGAAGCTCATTATAAGAAAATTTGAAAATTTTCCAATGGAAAATCGCTCCAGGAAAAATTCTGAAAAAATGACTTTTTCAAGTAAAATTAAGAAAAACTCATCCTCTCACATTTCAATTTATTTTTGGAAAACTAATAAAGCAAAACTTGTGAAATTTTTCCAGGAGAAAGAAGAAAATAAGGAGCTCATTATAGGAAAATTTCAAAATTTTGTACTGAAAAATCACTTGAAGAAAAGTTCTGGAAAATTGACTTTTTCTGCAATTGACAAGAAATGTCATAATTTTTGACCGGTTGACAGATCGCAAAATTCAATATTCTGGTATTTCAATTATGTTTCAATAGTTGCTAAGGAATCAATGAATAACAATACGGGAAAGACTTTTCCGGCCTAGGCCGGAAAAGTGATTCTCGTACTGCTGAATAATTGGAACTAGAAGACAAACATTTAACAGGTATTTAACCGATCGCAGAAAAAATAGTATGTGTATTTCGGTGGAAAAGCACATTCTCGGCCTTCGGTGTTTGCCGGCCTCGGCTACGCCTCGCCCGTCAACTTACACCGTTGGCCAAGAATGTGTCACTTTTCCACCTAAATACACAATATACTATTTTTAAGCAAAATTCATCCTTTCACATTTCAATTTTTTTCTGGAAAATTGGCAAAGCAAAAATTGTGAAATATTTCCAAAAGAAAACTTTTATGACATTTTGTGATTTTCGTAATTTTGTGTGTTTTTTTAAATTTCTATGATTTTCTTGAATTTTTTGATTGTTATAAAATTTATGTTTTGTAGAATTTTTATGATTTTCGTAAATTTTTATGATTTTTGTAATTTTCATAAATTTTCATTATTTTTTGAATTTTCATGATTTTTGTGATTTTTCCAATTTTTTTTTTTTTCATACACTTTTGTGATTTTTCGTGATTTTCACATTTTTGGAATTTTTATGATTTTTCTAAATTATTGCAATTTTTCAAATTTTTGATTTGTTTTCCCTAAACTTATGTGGCTTTTTGTGATTTTTTCTGTACTTTAAAATTTTTGTGGTTTTTATAATTTTCTGAATTTTTATGATTTTTTGTGTTTTTCATAATGATTTTTATAATTTTCAGGATTTTCATAAATTTCTATAATTTTTTTGATTTTTTTGAATTTCTATGATTTTTAATAATTTTCATTGATTTTTGTAAATCTTGATCTATGATTTTCTGAATTTTTAGTATTTTTTTAAATTTTTATGATTTTCATTAATTTTTATGATTTTTTTTTAATTTCTGTAATTTTCAATTTTCATTTTTATGATTTTCTTGAACTTTTGTGTAATTTTGTGATTTTCGTAAATTTTTATGATTTACATGAATTTTTGTGTTTTTCATAAATTTTTATAATTTTTGTGATTTCTGTAACTTTCCGTTATTTTACTTATTTTCTGAACTTCTATGATTTTATTAAGTCCTAAAGAATTCACAAAATTAATACATTTACAAAATTCATAAAAATTCACAAAATAGAAAAAAAAAACACTAAATTCACAGAATTTACATAGAAATTTATGAAAATCAAAAATCATAAAAATTTACAAAAATTATATAAATTTAAGAAAATAAAAGATTACAAAAATTCGAAAAAATCATAGAAATCAGGAAAATTACAAAAATTACGAAAATCATAAAAATTTACAAAAATCATAAAAATCATAATAATTTCCAAGAATCATGAAAATTCACACAAGTCATGAAAATTTCTAAAAATCACGAAATGCATAAAAAATTATAGAAATTTACAAAAATCACGAAAATCGTAAAAATTTAGAAAAATCACAAAAATCATGAAAATTTACAAAAATCATGACAATTTACAAAAATAATAATATGTAGATAATAGAATTTTATGAAAATCATGAAAATTTACAGAAATCATAAAAATTCATGAAAACTTCCAAAAATCATGAAAATTTACAAAAATCACGAAATTTACAAAAATCACGAAATTCATGATAATTTCCAAAAATCATGAATCTTTCAGAAAAAAAAACTCGAAAAAAACATTTTCTCAAAAAAAAAAAAAAAAATTCTTTTTCAGAAAAAAAAAATTAAAAAATTCAAACATTTTTCTCGTAAATAAAAAAAAATTTTGGGAAAAAGAATCAAAAATTTTTCTCAAAAAAAAAATATGAAAAATTATAGGCGTCGCTCAAAAAGATTAAAAAGATAATTTTATTTAAATAAAACAAAAAACTAGCAGAAGAAAAATTTTGAAAATTGACTTTTTCAAGTAAAATTAAGAAAAACTCATCCTCTCACATTTCAATTTATTTCTGGAAAACTAATAAAGCAAAATTTGTGAAATTTTTCCAGGAGAAAGAAGAAAATAAGGATCTCATTATAGGAAAATTTTAAAATTTTCTAGTGTAAAATCGCTCCAAGGAAAGTTCTGGAAAATTGACTTTTTTAAGTACAATTCATCCTTTTACATTTCAATTTTTTTCTGAAAATTGGCAAGCAAAAATTGTTAAATTTTTGTAGGAGAAAGAGGTAAGTGAGGAGCTCATTATAGGAAAATTTCAAAATTTTCCAGTAAAAAATCACTCCAGGAAAAATTCTGGAAAATTGACTTATTCAGGCAAAATTAAGGAAAATTCACCGCTTACATTTTAATTTTTTCTGGAAAATTGGTAACGGGAAAATTTTGAAATTTCTTCAGAAGAAAGAGGAAAGTATGAGGAGATCATTAGAGGAAAATTTTAAAATTTTCCAGTGAAAAATCACTCCAGGAGAAATTTATTTATATATTTTCGGATAACTGAATAAACTTTATTCTAAGCAATAATTCCGAAGGTGCTCTATGAATTAATCTATGACTTAACTTTTTCTCTAAGTTATGACGTCATTGATAACGTAAGTAAGAACCTTATTCGTGCCGTGAAACAAACTATGTTTGTTTGAAATTTCAGACATAAAAAAAACCTATTTTTTAAAAAAGAAGGCAAATGATGACGTCAATACAAACTCTTGTGAAACTAACTTTTTTTTACGAATCTCTACGAAATTTGGAACCTAGTTGCGCTTATGATCAATAGAGCGGGTGAAAATAGGTGGAAAACAACCCTGACACCAATTCCAAATGGCCATTTTAAGCAGAAACAAAAATAAAAAGAAAATCCTATTTTTGGCTCTGGAAAAATTTTCAAAATCCTGACATATGGTCATGAACAATTGCCGATATCTTTGGTGAATTTCGAGTAAATTGGAAGAAATTATATACCATTGGAAAAAGCATTAGATTCTCTATAAATCTGTGCAAAATTGAGTTCGATAGCTCGAATAGTTTTTGAGCAATTGAGCCTCAAAGTTGAATTCTAGTGCAAATTTTGTCAAAAAATTCAAACTCAATTTTCTCAAAAATTCTAAATCTGAAAACATTGTAAATTACAGGCCATTCAGAACTTAATAAAAGCTACAAATTTTAGAAATTTTAATGCAATTTGCTCAACGGTTACCGAGCAATTGGGGTTTGAATATTTTGAAATCAGAATTCAAAGGGGGTACCTACCCTTATGAAAAACAGTTTTGCTCAATTTGACCTAATGAATCGATAGAGCGGGTCAAAATTAGTGGAAAACAACCCTAATATCAATTCCAAATGGCCATTTTAAACTCTGGAAATTTTCAAAATCCTGACATGGTCATGAACAATTGCAGATATCTTTGGTAAATTTCGAGTAAATTGAAAGAAATTATATACCATTGGAAAAAGAATTAAATTCTCTATAAATTGAGTTCGATAGCTCGATTAGTTTTTGAGCAATTGAGCCTCAAAGTTGAATGTTAGTGCAAATTTTGTCAAAAACTTCAAACTCAATTTGCTCAAAAACTATAAATCTGAAAACATTGCAAATTACAGGCCATCTAGAACTAAATGAAAAACACAACTGCCAGAGTATTTATTTATACATTTTTTTATTTGTTATATACTATAAGATCCCCTATGGGTTTTACTAATTTAAATAGAAAATATCACCCAAAAAATGTTAATATGTAGTTGAATAAAATTTCAGTTTCTATTCACAATTTTTTTTTAATACTTACCTACCCTAATAAAATACATATTATAATAAGTATAATATTAGTCTATTAAATAACAAATAACATTAATATACTCTTAAGATAAATTCTAATGTCAAAAAAAGTCTAATATTTCTTATTTTGTTTTAATACAATAATATGTAATTATACTGGCGATCCTTCATGACAGATCACTTATAAAAACATTTAATATAAAAAGCATAACATGTAATATATTTAGGCACCTATGGCAGATAAACACTAAAAAATTACAAAAAGATTTATTTCTAATTCAACCATTCCCCATCATACATTGTAATTAGTAACTTAAGCCAAAAAAACTTTGTATAAAGTGCGGTAATAAAAACCCAAGCAATTTTTATATTATGTCAAATTAAACCCTGTTACTCTCAAGCGTTAGTTAGTAATTCATTCTATACTTCAAGCAATGATTTCCACATCTACATAGAAAGTGTGCAAAAAATGTTTACTAAATGCTAAGGCTCTTCAAAATCACCCCTGCAAATATACACGTCAACATTCCTCAAAAAATTAATAAGCATTGTAATGATTTTTTGGTTAATTGAATCGTCAAAATAATCATACGAATCCAGCCACTGCAAAGCGACATATTCAAAACAATTATTGCCAAATTCCTTGTTCTTTTTGTTAATTTTTTGTAAGCAAGAGTGTAGCGTAAGAAAACTTATAGGTTCTCGTCGAGTTTTCCTCACAACGCAAGCGCAAATGCCATAATTTTGAACTTTATCGTCAAAATACACAATGTCACCCAAAGTTTTTTCTTGCTTCTTGAAAGATGGCCAAAAGTTGAATTTTTTCGACATATTCCTAATTATATCATCTTCTTCGCCTTTTGTAGTGGCTAGATATAATATCAAAGTACTCGGAGCGATTTTCGTGACTGGAACTTCCTCAATGACTAATTTGCATTTTGATTTATAGTCGGCGTGTTCAAACTAAAAAAGGAAAGATGAAAAATGACAGATGGGATATTAAAAGCCACAGTGAAACATTTAGAATCTCAGAAATTCGGTTGAATAAATGAAATGCATGATCATTTTGAAGGGGAAATTTGGCTAATAATAAAGATTATTTCCATTATTTTCAAAAAAAAAAAAACAATTTCCAATAATGATAATCTGAAATTGATGGGAATTTTCCACAACTGGAAAATTGATTTTAAGGAATTGAAAAGTCCCCGTCAAATGATATGATTCCCAAAATGTTAGGGTAGTTTTTCAAGATCTTCCTGCAATAAAGCACCATGCCACATGCCCACACCAAGCACAAAAAGCAATAATAGAAAAAGTACAATAGAGATTCAAAAAATCATATTTCTCTTGACATTATTAATAATCCTCACCACCCACCCTTAGAATATTTGAAAAAATATTTATTTTTTGCTGCGACCTTTCTGCTTTTTCTCTTTTTTGTTGTCTGGTGAGGTCTGCAGTTTTTTCTTTGTTTTACCGAAGTTCTGAAAATTGATCTACACTTACTGCCTTATAATTTACTATTATCTTAAAACATGTAAGCTTTTCAATTTTGAAGCATCTGACTTTCATGGCTGTGATGTATTCTCTCCTGTTATTTTAACAGTTGTGTTATAGCTCAAAATCTATATGTGTCTCTATTTTTACGTGTAGAATAAACAGTGACAGATAACTTAACGTTGCTGTTAAAATAACAGAAAATGATACATCATAGGCCTGAATGTGAAAAAATCTTGTCTTACCTGTTGAAAGTTACAAACTCTAATTTCAATCTTCATGTCCGTAAACAAATACTCCAACATTGCTTTCACTTTATCCCATTCTAGCCTGTCTAGACCACAGCCCAATCTTGGTATTGCTAACTTTGTCACCTGAATAACACAATGTTACATTTTATTAAAATAATTATTTGACTTACTTTATTTTCCTTAATGTGATCTCTCATTTTAAACAATGACTTCCACAAAGTATAATAAGTTGGTTTTCCAGTAGAGTCTTTTTTTGTTACCAGGTAGTAAACAAATCGATCATTTGCCTGATCATGTATAGTAGCCAAACCACCTTGCTTAGCCCTTTGATCTAGAAGATTGGGTAAATTTTTGAACTCGCGCCTAAAAAAGAATTAGCGTTTTGAAACATAAGTATTTATAAAAAAATCATCCAAATGTATCCCAAACATTTTAACTTACGTACTTGAAATCAACAGCGATCCCACTTCCCATTCTAAGATCTTCAGCCACACAATGAGCCAAAGAGAAATCTTTTGGTTGTTCAAAAAGATTGCCTTGAATTTCGCAAACAATTTTAAAATCATCAATTTCCTCCCAGTGATTGTCCCACATGTCATATTCCTTATCCCTCTTTTCTTTTTCTACACTGTCGTCCAAATAGGAAGTGACACTGAAATAAAAAAAATAAAAACTAGTAGATTTCAAAAAGCAAACTGATTCAAGTTACTTACACTGGTGTGGAACTTTCTCTAGGTCCTGTTACCCTCATAAGCTTACTACAATCTACAATATTTTCTTTTTTTCTCTCCATCCTGGGATCTAAAAATTTCTTAGTTTCAATATCATCTGTTTTTCGCCTTGTATCTTTCTTATTCCTTTTGTCGTCATGTTTGACTGGTGGAGAATTTTCTTGAATAACCCTATTTTGCATCTTCATTTCATTTTCTTTAGCCAAAAGACTTTCCATAAGTGAAAAATTATCACTATTACGTGTATCAGAATATGACTGATGATATTTAGATGAACTTTTGTGTGCGTTTCTTTTATCTTTTTCTTTACTCAGTCCTTCTTTCTTTGCATGTGCTTTGGGGTGTTGAATTGCTTCTGAATCTAGTTCCACCAAAGAATCATGTACATTTGTATCACCAACATCATGTTCATAAGAACTTTGGCAAGTTTCTTCAACCGGGGTTTCAATGTTATTTTCTAGATTTTTGTCATCTCTTGCTTCAAAATTATAGTTGTCACGACCTTTATTACTTGTGTTATCATTTTTTATATTCCAATTTTTATTTTCTCTTCTTGATTCAGACTTTCTTGGTTGAATATTTAAATTATTAAATTTATTTTCTGGACTCTCCTCTTCCAGATCCACGTTTCTCTTCCTTTTGTCATAAGTTTTTTTTTTGAAATCTTCTGAAAACTCCTGGTTATGTCTACTTCTTTTATCAAAGTTTGATTTTTTGTTTTTATCACTCCAATCATTTTCTTCTTTAGGATTTTCATAACTTTTTTGGTTTTGGTTTTTTTCACTATAAGTTGCTTGTTGAATCTTGGTTTCTTTTTTACTTCCAATAGATTCCTGTGTATTTTCCGAAAACGCATTATTTCTATCATAGTTAGATTTTGATATTTCTAACTCCTTTTCACCTGCGTTATTGTTACTTCTATATTTTCCTGATGAATCTCTATGTTCTGGGTTAGTTTTCTTTAATTCTTGATGTCCAAAATCTTTATTGTAACTACGTCTATTTCCTTCCATCTTCCAGTTTCCTCTTTCTGTGCCTCTGTTGTGTAAATTTGGCCCCATTTGATCATTTTCATCACGTATCTGACCACATTGTTCTTGATTTGAAGGTCTGACCAATTTCTCTCCTGTAAAATTTGTTTCTTCTGAATTTTTGCTGCTACTTCTATATTTTCCTGATGAATCTCTATGTTCTGGGTTAGTTTTCTTTAATTCTTGATGTTCAAAATCTTTATTGTAACTATGTCTATTCCTTTCCATCTTCCAGTTTCCTTTTTCTGTGCCCCTGTTGTGTAAATTTGGCCGCATTTCATCACGTATCTGACCAAATGGTTCTTGATTTGAAGGTTTTACTAATTTCTCTGCTGTAATAGTTGATTCTTCTGAATTTTTGTTGCTTCTTCCTGATGAATGTTTATATTTTGTCTCTTCAACTATGTTATTGCTATCTCCATGTTCTCGGTTATTATCGCTTGGTTCTTCATGTTTAAAATCCCTTTTTTTATTATGCCAAGTTTCCTTGTCCCTTCTTTGATCATATTCTTTTGGCGATCTCAGATCATTTTTATCATGTCCCTGATCAAAAGGTTTTTCGACAGAATTCTTCTGAGTCAAATTTTTGCTGTCTCTATCATCTGAAGTTTTATCATTTGCATTAGAAGAATGCTTATTCATTCTCCCCACTTCATGGCTATTATAGTTTTTATTGAAATCATTTCTGCGATTTCCAGAAGAGAAATTATCACTTCCTCTAAAAGGCCGGTTTTCTCTGGCTCTTCTAGAATCATCTTCATTATAACCTTGTATTTTTTCAATAAATCTATCAGAGCTTTCATTCAAATATTCTTCATTTGAAAGATCTGCTGATTTTTCCTGATATCTTGAATGTTTGTAGCCTCTTCCTCTATAAGAAAAGTTATTACTTGAGTTATTATATCCTTTGAAATATCGACCACGATAGCCACCTTCACTACGACCCTTATATGTCTCATGATGTTGTATTTGTCTGTCAGAATTCTTATTGAAACTTTCTTCATTTGCATGATCACCTAATTTTTCTTGATATCCCCAATTTTTGTGGCCTCTATTAGAATATGTATTAGTTTCTCTGAAAAATCTTTTACCTCTGTCATTCCGATGAAAATCTGGTTGTCTTGGGTCAATATGTCCCACAGACGTACAATTAGCATGTTGTTCACTCCAGGAAAGTTCATTATTGTCTCTTGACGATTCTCCACTTCTCATTGGTCCACAACAAGACTGAGAGACATTAATATCAAGCGTATGATTATTCAGTTCATCGTTTGAAGCACTAAATGATCTTTCCTGATCAGATTCTTCTGACTGTCTACTATCTCTATCTGAAACTAATCTTTTATTTCCTTCTTCTAATCTGGGTTTCCTTGAATCATCATTGTAGTTACTTTCATCTAATGAAGTAACACTTAGCTGATTAGTATTTGATTGATCATCTAGAGACATTTGTTGTGTTTCTTGTAGTTTCAAATTTTCAATTTGAATAAACTGGTTTTGAGGAAACGGAACATAATTATTTGCACACACAACAACACAATTTGGTATAAATCCTTGGCCATAAATTGGATTGGCAGGAATATACTGTGCATGTGAATCAGTTATTTGTGTTGGGTAAAAAGCAGGAGGTATAACGTTTGTCATTTCTGAAGAATTTTGCATAGATTGTCGAATTTCTGGACGAAAAGGAGCTGGAGGTAGTGGAGTTTCAGCAGATGATCCTGAATAGAATAAAATCTATAATAGTTTAAATCCAAATCAAATGAAAGAAACATAATTATTGTAAATTCAACATCTTTGGTTAATGGTAAAAGTAAGTAGGTACAACAAATATAATAAAAAGATTTTCATAAAATTCTGCAAAAGAGCAAAGTCACATTTTCACTACTACTACTGGACTCTTGTGACCAAAATCCATTTAATTTATTAGAATAGGAATGTGGCACTCAAGATAATGTTAAGAATCCCAAAAGTGCAGTTTTTGCATCGTATGCTCACTTTTCATAAAGATTTTCAATGAATCAAATGGTTTAAGGCCAAAATTTTCTCTCAAGGTGTACAGGGCGAGAGGGTGTTTCAAATTTCAACCGCATCATTGGGATCTTGGTGAAAGATACAAAGTTGGTGAAAGCAGCATTTTGATAAGCATCAAATTATGCAATTTTGCCCTGTATCTCTCACAGTTTCCGAGATTGCAATATGATGTGCCCCGAATTTGAAACACCCTGTACACCCAGCTTGTAATGAAAAATTAACAATGAGCAGGTAGGTATTCATTAAGCAAGGAAGATAAAGATAAATATATTAAATGTATAAATATAAAAACTCGTATAAAAATAATGAAATAAATAAGTACATACCATTATTCTCAACATTTTTTGGTACAAATACATTTGCATTAGGATTTAAATTGAAAGGCTTCAATGCAGGTGCTGTACGCAAACCAGTAGCATTAATCCAACCACCTTCCATGTTCAAAAATTATCTAAAAAACACTGTAAGTATAAGATATAACACAAAGAAGAAATACTGATATAAATACACAATTTTATATGAAATTATTATAAATGATTGGACCAAACAAAATCTGACTGATATGCAATGCAATAAACTAATCTTATAGTTATGGAATTTATGAAGGATAAAGTTATAATGTCGCAGTGCATTAAAAACTGAAAACTGCGTCATCCGCATTTATTTATCTGATAAATTATTATTAGTCAGGCACCATACTGAAAACCATTGTTACATTATGATAAGTGTTTTAAAATCCGCTTATTCTTTGGAAATGAAAAGACAACATTACAAAATGGTTCTAAAGTTCATAAGATAATTTCACGAGGGGCGGCTTCAATGACATAAAACCTTATGGATCCCAAGGGCTTTTTTTATAGAAATATGGGACTATGAATATATGAAAGGGGCGAAATTCCATCTTGCAGATGTTTGTGAATAGTTATGCGATATGAGACACCTAAATTAATGGATGGACACTTAAGTACTTTTTGGTACTTACCCTAAACTTATATAAAAACACTCAATAAAGGATTTATTCAATAATTAAGGAGTACCACAGCCTCGCAGTACTAAATATCACAAAGGAGTAACAACTATTAACTACTAAAAGTAAACGTCAGCTAAACGAAAATGTGCCAGCGCATATTAAACTGGTACTTTTTATTTTGATAAAAACGAAACACGGGGGAATCCCCTAAAAATATTCTACTTAAAACAAACCCCTTCCATGTTTATAACACAGTTGAGGAGAAATTTCTTCAAACTTTGAATTATAACCTAAAAAAAGTTGAACAAAAATTGACAACTGACAGAACTTTGGCAGAGAGGCCGAATGAAAAGGCGATTTCAAATCAAAAACTGATGACGTCATTTGTGTGCTAGTCATTTTTTATTTACGGTAATATTCACGTAAATTGAGCAAAATTTCAACAAAAATGTATTGAATTTTGCGACATACTCCTACCGGCATTGAATTCCACTTACTAATTTATTCGTTGATAGTGTAAAATTGCCTAGAAGTTGTTGAAACAAGTTTTTTTTCAGGTTTCAACCAACGTAGAAGCAAGGATTGTGTTGTAATAATCTTCATTTGTTGAATGGCAGAACTCACTCCAACAAATTTGGTGACTGGCATTGGTTTTCCCATGGCCATGGGCAAGGAAAATACACACTCCTACGCGGAATTGCTCATGGGACTTGTTTTTGGGAATCGCGGCCATTGTGTAGCACCATTGACAACGTCATCAACTACGTCGTCACCTGTTTGCGCCGGCGGTCATAATTTAGTCGTAGATTTATGATAAAAAATGACCAGCGAGCAAACGGAGCAGTTGAACGCTGTATCCGAGTGCCCGAAGTTTTAATAAACGAACGTGAATGAACCTGCACCGAGTACACTTTTTAAATAAACAAACAGTAAATTCAAGCTCGGAGATCTCAGATCAAAATACCGAACGCACGGATTGTAGTGAAACCAAGTAAAGTCTGTTTTTTTTAACATAAAAATCAAAATGACATTATGTTGGCAATACAAATACAATAGGCATATTTTCGCGAGGATAATCAAGCATAATCTGATTATGCTGGGTTACGTGATGTGTCAATTGTGTCATACATTCGACATCACAATTTACTTTCAATACGTGGTTTGAAAGTACTTTCAGCACGTGTGTTGAAAATGAAAAGAAATAAAATACGAGAAAATTGATGTTAATCGGTTTCTGGACGTGGGAAAAATGTTGTTAATCACTTGTGAGAAAGCCTCTTTCATACACTTGTGTGAAAAGACAATTGTATGAAACTTGTCACTTTCTACACTTGTATTATAATGTAATAGTATATTATACAATGGTCATATATAAGATGCGAGTGTATTAATGGCCATTACATGGGAGTTGCATACACTATATTTTTTGTACTTCCATTGATAAACGAAAAACATATTTATTTTATAAGAAGCTTCTCAACTGATGACAATGTTGAAAACTTGACAATTTCAAAAATTAAGATCTAGACGCCATTTGGGCATAAATACCGCACCCGATTTATTAATTTTTTGTTGTTTCTTTTAGTAAATACCAATAGAAACAATCCAAAATTCCAAAACAAGTCTGTTATTTTTATATAAACATATTATTGTTCATGTTCAAAATAACTCGATTCCAGTGGCTGAAAAATCTGTATCATAATGAAGTTCATTATGAAACAGGTTTTAGGCGTATACTGTCATAAATGTTTTCAATGCGTTCATACAATATTAAATAGAAAATTGTGTTTTTAATATGAGTTGTTTCCTTTCCTTCTTTTCCCGGTGTTTTTCTGCAAGTCGAGCATACTTGTGACGTCAACCCTCTTAACTTATTGGAAATCAAATTTAACATATACCTTGCTCTCCAACAGATCATAGCGGCCTCTAGTGACCAAAGCTCCAAGCTGCCAGAACAGGTAATCTCGGATCATTTGGATTAACCTTGCGTTCGGTATTTTGCTCAAAAAGCAAGCGTGCTGAACGGAGCCGTAATCGCGTGACTAGCGAGCAAGCAGAGCAGTCGAACGCTCTATCAGAGTGCCCGAAATTTTAATAAACGAACGCGAATCTGCCTGCACCGAGTACTCTTTTTGAATATGAACGATAAAAGTTGTATTCGTTTCACATCTAGGACGAGCTCCGGAACAGCTCCGGGGCTTCACGCGCTTATTCCTTTCGAAAAATGTTAGTTGCACCACGCATCTATTCCCTGCAAATCGGGGGCGACTAAACCCCGGAGTGAGTAGCTCGAGTGTTTCAAGCTCTTGAAAGGAATACAACTAAATTCAATCTCGGAGAACTCAGATCAAAATAATGAACGCACGGTATGTATTTTTCGAATTTTAGTGTTTATAAAGTTTTATGCCAGTAGAAGCATTAATTTTAATTTCTTTTATAATGAAAATAGATGTATCTACAGCTTGATGAAGATAATGAAAGGCTGATACACACTAGTAGGTACTACAAGATAGCCTATCCTCACTTAAGAGCTGCTTTCGGGTGCCACTCTTTGAGCGCTCCCGAGTTACTCCGAAGTACTCCAGCTACAGTTTGACACGTTCGGTTCCGTGCAAAACGCTAGGAGTATGGCAGTTTTACATTAGGCAATTTTTCGCGAGGATAACGAGGCATAATCTCTTGCTGGATTATGTGATGTGTCATTTGTGCCATAACTCCCCCAACATCAAATTTTGGGATATTTGAGGATCAAGAACACTTACAGCGATTTCCATTTGTCGAACCAGTGCAAAAAAATGTATCCTTATCCTTTACATGTCACATGCGTTTAGAAAAAGATGCGGATACACTCACTGATTGACAAATAGAAAACGCCATTAATTTCTTCTGTGAGAACAGACCTAAAATCACCTTTTCTACATTTAAAATTGACGAAAAAATTAACTTACTAGGACAGCCTGAATCGCAAGCATACAATCGAGGTCTGCGGGTGACGTCATCACTATCAGCTGCTGATAGTGACGTCACTCGCAATCCCAGAATTTGATGGTGAGGGAGTTAGGGGAGTATGAGGTCGAATCGAAAATGTTAACAATATTTTCCACACGTGTGCTGATAGTACTTTTAACACATGTATTGAAAGTCCTTTCGGCACGCGTGTGATATTTAGCGCTTTCCAAAGAACCAACTACTGCGAATTTTGTCATTTTCGTATATGTGGTCGTAGGAAATAGTATATATTACATTACGAGTGTAGAAAGTGACAAATTTCATACGAGTGTTTTTTCGCGCGAGGCGGTAGCCGAGTGCGAAAATGATGAAAGACGCTTTCTCACAAGTGATGTACAACATTTTTCCTACGACCAGAAACCGATTTACACCAATTTTCTCTTATTTTATTTCTTTTCATTTTCAACACACGTGCTGAAAGTACTTTCAACGCACGTATCGAAAGTAAATTGTGATGTCGAATCGAAAATGTCAACAGTATTTTCCACACGTGTGCTGAAAGTACTTTTAGGACGCGTATTGAAAGTACTGTCGGCACGTGTGTGATATTTAGCGCTTTCCAAGGAAACAACAGTGCGAATTTTGTCATTTTCATATATGTGGTCGTAGGAAAATAACTATTATATACGACCCCGTTTGAGTTACGTAATAAAGTTGTATTATGGTACTATAGTGCGTAGTGATGTAATTAGCTTGTTATATCACTTGTGGAAGTGCTTGCAGCGTTGCAAGTAGGTACGTGTTCAGGAAATATTTCTTTCGGCCTTGCTGAATAATCGGTTGCGAAAAATTGGAATCATTTTGGATACATTAAAAAAACAAAAATCTGAGTCGTAGATAAAATGATTCATGTCACATGTATGGTAACGCTCATTACATTACTTATGTCGTGTGGTTATACCGCGGCGTGACTCGATCTGTACACCTGTAGAGTACCAAGTAAAGAGTAGAGGCAGAAACTGTCACTACTATCGGTACTAACGTAAAGGTTGAATTTGATATTTCAGTCCGAAAATTTTATCGGACTCAGTAGCGTAGAACTTCATTTCCGTACTGAAGGTGTATTTTACGATACTGTATGAAATGTGGGAAATATTGAAGTTTTGAACAAGGTTTATGATAAAGAGTACGAGATGTATATAGGGGCTAAAACTTCATTTTTGTGATGATATCTCTGGGTCGGTGTATGTCGGATTTTGTCAGATTATGCCCAAAGGAAATTAAACAAGTAGTGGAGGCTTAGAGTCAGTGGTGCCAGATTGTTTTAGTAGGAATTCGTGAGATTGGTCGCCAAAAATCGTGAGAAATCGTGAGACAACTGAAAAGCGTCAATTTGAAAGGAATTCGCCTTGTAAAACGTTTGTGGCGACATCTAGTGGCATTATATTTTTCACTTCTGACGCGCAAATTGTTTATAAAAAAATTTGTGTTCTAGTTATTTACCTAAAAAGTGCGGAAAGTGGTACTTTTTCGCACGAGACGGCAGTTGCACGAATGACGGTGCGGAAAAGTACAACTTTCAAAACGAAAAATCTTGCGGAAAAGTAACTTTTCCGCACGCTCGTAGGAAATTTTCAAATAACAACAGTTTTTTATAATTATAATTTAAACATAAATAAATAATAAAAAACAGGATATCGGATAAATACGAATTCCTGGTGATTCCCTGCGGCTGCTACTAAAAAATACCGACCAATTGCTTCGCGCTACAATAGTGCCATCTCCCGTTGTAGTGCTAATCTAATAAAATTTTATTGTTGCCTGAGGTTGCAGTGTTGTGTACCAACGTCGTACCAAAGAATTACTGATTTTTATCCTAAATTATACATATTTATTCTCATATTTCTGTCAGCAGAATTCTTAACTGGAATAAATTTGCAATTAAAAACTCATATTTTATTAAAACCCGCCAAAACTTTAAAATATCATGAAATTCTTGGGACATATCGTGAGATTCGATACAAAATCATGAGATCTCACGATAAATCGTGAGATCTGGCACCCCTGCTTAGAGTGGAGGTCGGTTTAAGGACTATCTGTTGTTGCCAGATTGTGCACAATTTCCATAACATAATAATAAAATTGGTTCACGATAAATTAAAATGTGTGATTTTTTTTTTTGAAAAATTAGACCGACCATTTGAAAAACACCCAATCAGGATGGTAGATTCTTTCGATGTCATTGGTAGAGGTAAAGATTCAAACAACATTTTTAATTATTTCATATATTATTTTTCTTATATGGCCAAAGTCACCCTGATGTGAAATCTTAAATATTATTTACTTTATTGAAATGTTTTTTTGTTATTTAAGAATTTACTTAACGCATGTCTTATATCAAATATTGAAATATGTTTAACTTGATAAGAAATATCTAGGAACCTAAGTAAAGGTCAATAATATAAACTGATGCCGTAATAGAAATAATAAAATACCGCCTCAAGTGGTGTTTATCTATCTGGATTTGAGCAAACAAATCAAAAATGGTCAATAACTGATATAAGAAATTAATAGGTACCTATACCTATCTACAGAAGTTCTGTAACAATTTCACCATAACGTACCTATTAGGTACCTACATCAATTTAATGTTAGCAGAAATAGCGTCATCTTTCTGCTTTTTAAATATTTGGTTTTTGAAGAAAATACAAAAATGATAAGATAAAGTGGTGCCAGTCATTAAATATTTTGAATTGGTCTCCGGTACTTAATTAAAAGACAACTTCAACGACCATGAAGAGATGGGCCAGACGGGCAAAAACCCCTCTTCTAGGAACAAACGTTGCGGAATAGCAATTTAAAAATTAAATTGCGTGTTTGAGGAACAATGGCTTTCTTTATCATCAGGCCGCATTGCCCCCAGCTCGACTGATGCTTGTAGTTAAGTGGGTCTTTTTTAGCCAAAAAATCGTAAAGGCCTATTATGAACGTCTACCAGACCATTGATATATTTGCGATTTCCAATACAAATATCATGTGTTGTTATATGCGAAAAATAATATTGCAGCTATTGTGTTTCGTTTTTGTAGGTGTTTGTAGGAACCATAAAAGTTGAAAATAAGGTGCCAAAGCATTAATATAAGTCTGTACAAATATAAATTCGAACAATGGAATTATGTTTGATTTGAAAATAAAATGAGATGCAAACTCTGGTCTGGCTTTTATACATTTTAGTAATATTTTAGGTTGTCGGTTTGTATAATCGACCTATGAGTTTTCTGTGTCCATCAAGTGAAGTAGGTGTATTTAATATTTGAGAGAAAATTGCCATTGAGAATCTTCATATATCTTACTTAAATGTGTGCCTTTTCTTAATATTTAAAAAAAAAAAAATTCTTGAAAGTTAAGTTCCTGATGTATTTGAGATAAAGTTTGATACAAAGTTAATTGAAAATACAATTTTAAACACAATCTATTAGGAAAAAACCAAATACTGTATCAAGTTCCTCTGTACTCGGGCTCTGGCCACGGTACCGCGGTAGTACCATACTTCCAAAAAAAAAAAACATTCATGCTAATCGCCATCGATGCTATCTCGGACGGAATCGTTGTCTCTGGCCGGGCCAAGTTTCACCAGTGATGGTTTAAGTCAGTCAGACTCCGACTACTGACCGACTTAAGGCAGGTCGTACCGCGGCGGTACTATACAACTAGGGTGCGTGTTTCATGTCTGTCGGCGAAGAGCCGGGATCCTCATACGAAATCGAAGGAAGAGAAGTGCGGTACCATCGGGGGGTGAATATTTAATTTATTTGTGAGAAGTATTTCGGGTACTACCTGGATCGGCCTTTATAGTGTGAGGGTTTGATTGGAATATTAAATTTTATTTGAGAAGGTACCTATATGTTTGAATAAATTTATTGTTTATATTAATTTCTTTTGATATAACGACTGCTTTCTCAATTTATTATTTTCAATAGAAACCAAATACACAATTTGGTCGAAATTTTGACATAATTTTTTTGAACTCATACATAGGTACCTATTTTCATTATATTCTTGAAAATTTAAATTTCTGCTTCCACTTTCTTCCTTTTGCTTTTGATTATGTTAAGTGATTGCGTATAAGATTACATGCCTACTTTTCTATATTTTTTTATTACAGTTTTTATTGAGTACAGGATACCTACTCGAGGTATAGTAGTAGATTCCATAAAACGAGCTTTTTGAACTTTGACCCACATGCTACTTATACTAAATAAGTACTAATATACGTCCTTGCCCCAAATTTTACCAGAAAAATAAGTAATATACTAAATTAAATGTTAATAATTAAAATAATGTAAAAAAAAATATAAATAATGCACATACCTACCATTCAAACTATTATAGGTGAATTAAAATGTTCAATAATTGGTATAAATAGGTGTTATACTCAGAGCGAACCAAATACTCAATAGATCTATTAGTTGTCTATTAATCTTATTCCATTTTTCTGATATTGTATTGTTCCTTCTAGTAATTATGTGTCGTACCATTCTTTGATCATTTCTGACGGTATATGATCGTAGCCCAGGGATTTTGTTGTTTATGACTTTTTCTATAGTTTATTATCCGGTATTTCTTCTCTGTGACATTTTTGAATGCATTTTCATCAGGTTTTTCGTATAATGCTCTCGTATTTATGATAAGTTTCTTCTAGTATTTGCTTGTTGGTATGAATTTTTTTGTTTCTCAATCTTATCATCTATTATTTCTTTTTTTAGTCATTTGGGAACATTCTTTATCTTGTTTCGCGGTTCTCTTTGCTGTTTTATTTAGACGTCTCTATTTTGCTTGTTACAAAAAGCTTTCTTCTTCTCTTTAGTAGAAATTTTGTTGCTGCTGATAACCTATTTATAATTTTGATTCATTTCTCACGGATTTCAAGATATTGAAGTTTAAAGATTTTGAAATAAGAATCCTAGGCTCTTTGAAAAAAAATTTAATATTTTATATTTTTCAAATTTTAACTTCTTCAATCGATAGAGCGGGTCTAAGATAGTAGAAAAAAACCCTAACATCATTTCCAAATGACCAAATTAAAGGGAAAAAAAATCAAAAAGAAAATTGAATTTTTTAGTCATGATTTTTTTTTTTAAATCATGACAAGGTTAAGAAAAATTGCCAATATTTTAATTAACATTTAAACAAGTTAAAATAAATTATACACCATCAGAAACAGCATTAGATTCTCTATAAATCTGTGCTAAATTGAAATTGATAGCTCAAATAGTTTTTGAGTAATAGAGCCTCAAAGTTGAAATTTAACCGAAATTTAGTCAAAAACTTCAAACTCAATTTTCTCAAAAACTATAAATCTGGAAATATTCTCCAATACAGGTTTTTTATAGCTCAATAGGATATTCATTTCCTGTAAAGTTTGATTCAATACCTTTCACGGATTTCAAGACACTGAAGCTTAAAGATTTTGAAATAACAATCCAAGGTGGGTAACTCTTTGAAAAAGACAAAAAAAAAAAAATGTCAATGTGTTAAAACTTCTGGCAAGGTTTCATCAAAGCAAAATCAAAATAAAGTATGTAGGTACCATCGAAAGACGCATTAAATTCTCTATGAATCCGTGCTTTTAATTGAGTTTGATAGTTCCAGTACTCAGTACTTTCTGAGCAATTGAGCTGCATAAAGTTCAACAGCTGAAATCCTCCTTTGGTAAATTGAGAATTTAACCTTTTTTTAAAAATATCTTTGGGAAAATAAACAAATTATTGTTTTATACTATTTTAATCAGTAAAAGTTTTCAAAAATAATATTTTCCTTTTTATATTATTTTATCCCATTTTGACGTTTAAAAATGACATTATTGAACGCATAACAACAAAGGTAAGTAGACGTTTATCACCTCAGTGATTTAAAGATTTTTTTAACTCACTCTCGACATTTTAGGTCACTCAATTAAAACTCTGACACCTCAGTGATTTAAAATATTTTTAACTCACTCTCGGTACTTTTCCTTGTACTTTATTTTTTGAATTTCCACAAAATGGGATAAAATTTTGTATACATCACGTGAGTTAAAAGGTTTATTCATTCGAATTCGCTAGGGCTCATTCTTCTCATGAATAAACATTCATTTAACTCACTTGGTGTATAAATAACTATTATGTTCTGATGTAAATGCACCCAAAGCTAGCTAATGCAATTTCCATAGTTGAGTTGATTGGTCTTAAATGGCGCTCTGTATCAACTCAATCGAAATGACTGGGTTTACACCGGCATCTTTTGATGAAAATCCAAAAATAAAATCAATTGTTTTTTAACAAGGGTATTAAGAAACGCTGTGTCTAGCCTCCCGGCACCGGTATTCATACGAATCTCGGTTATGACGCGTTTTCGATGACTCTATCAACGACCGCCGGGATTTATCATGGGTCCCGGCTATTGGATTCAAAATTCAAAGTCGTGTTTCTCTTGCTGCTTGAAGCTGTGATTAATTCCGGAATAGCTTTTGTGTATTATTGTTTCATGTTGTGATATTGGTATTAGAGTGGTGAGTACTTCGTTAATCCATTTTTCGCAGTAGTACGTGGTTTAAAAAGGGAATAGTATAGTTTATTTTCATTCATTATTCAGGACTATAGCCTTTTTAACAGCCTGTATCTCTGAAATAGAGTACTCTTGGACCCATGTTTATAGGAATTTTTGCTCTTAATTTGAGATGTAGAATCCGCAGTTAAAATATTAACCTCTATAATTTTGGGGCACCCTGTGTAATGTTGCTGAACATTAACGGCGTTGCTGTACAAGATCAAATGTTGGACAAACTTTCAAAATGACCCTGTACCTACATATTATAATAAAAAGTCATACTTTTATTTTCCATTAATAAAAGCTCATCTTTGTTTACTTTTTTTACTCTTCATAATAAATCTGCCCCAATACCAATGAACATAATAATTATTAACATCTTGTATAGCACTAGCCGGGATCCACGACAGTTACCGGTTGTTGTTGATGACGTCATTTAAAACGCCCTATAGCCGGGATTCGTATGAATACCGGTGCCGGGAGGCTAGACACAGCGATTAAGAAAAGGTGGCCCAAAGACGAAACATCGGATTTCAAATTTAGATAATGCCATATCAGTCAACATAACAAAGAAATAACACCAAGACCAAGATCAACGTCAAAATATATCAAGTTTAAAAAAGAAGTACCTTACCCAAGTAGCACATACATGTCCCTGCGACTACGTATAAACCAAATATAACGGCGCCAGAAGTGCCGATACAGTGCAAATAAGTGACCGTCAATAATTTTTCGTTGAAATTATGTCGAACCGTCGTCCTTAATACCTATGTGGTCAAGAAATCGAACCTTTATCTAGCTCAATTTTGACGTAATAAATTAAAACCAGTTTCAATGTTAAATTGATGACGTCAATCCGTCGTCCTCTTGTATAATTGTGACCTCTGAAACGTTTATTAAACGTCGTCTAATACGGCCAATCATGAGGTAAAATAAAAATCGTAAATTGGACGTCATAATATTGTACCCAATTCAACGTTGCATTAAAGACCAATCATAAGGTCAGATAGAGGTCTTAGAAAAACGTCCGGCCAACGTAAAAATTGGACTAAGGTAAAATTTGGTGTAGTATTTCATACTTTTTGCGTCGTTCGTTATTAAACTGTCGTCAGTCAAATAAAAACATAAACAAACAACAGGTATGACTTTACTATAAAGATTTTTTAACAATTTAAATAAGTATTTGCTTTTGTATTTTTGATATGGGACAAAACAGGAGCTTCAAATACTAATCTAAGTCATCTACATATTACAGAAGAAGAAAAAGATTTTTAGAATTAGTGAAAAGGGAGAAATGTATTCCAAACATGAAGGAAATGAAGCAAGAAGGAAAATTGAAAGAGAACCCTGTAATTTCCAATCAGGAAATTGAAAAAGATTCAATAAATGTCGGACTAAAAGGAAATACTTCAAGATTTTGAACAACAGCAAAAATAAAACATTTGTTTCCTGAAAAATTTCAAATAAATGAGAGCATTGAAGCACCTTAAGAACTAGTAACGATAGGTTATCATATATTCATATAGGACCTATAGTCAATCTAGGTTTATATGTTTGTACTATTTTATTACCTCTGGTCCTATATGTTTATATAGATTAAATCCATTTTCATGACGAAAACACGCATTAGGTTAAGATAAGGTGCAGATTATTAACTTGATCATTTTATGTATCGCAAGGTCCTATCTAATCATCCGCCATTGCTGCAAGTTTAATGAAAATGAAATAATATCTGAAAAATCAAACCTTAATAAGGAATTTTTGTCAAAATTATCTATTTTGTGTAAATCGGACTTGCCCAAAGATGTTTTCGAACCATCGGAACTATATATAAAAATTATGTAAATTACACATTTTTTTTGGAAAATATTAAAAAAACAGGACCCCGTTTGTTTTGTGTGCATATCATAATTATATTTGACAGAAAAGTTTGAAATTTTTGTGCCTACAGTAGTAAATATTTAGTTTCACGTATTTTATTGTTGACAAAACCAGGCGCCATTAATATGTTATGCCCCCCAATATTCTCATAAGTATCTACCTCTATTCATTTTGTTTTTAATGTTATAAGTTGTCAGTTGGGAAATGAAATAATACCAATGATAAACCAAAAGTGCGACTTTGGTGCAAAATATCAAGCCTGGAACGCCCTTTATTTGGTTTGGTATTTGTTTTTAGGTTAGTCGTGGTTTACGACGTCTAGTAAACGTTCAAATCTGGTTGTGTATGCTGACGTATATAAGTTAAAAATTAGTAAAGCCTCGCGACCTGCGACGTCGTTACAACCATGAAATGATTCTCCATTTTGGTGAAAATAAGGATTGTATAGTCGTCTATTTGACGTCGCGCCTTAACGTCAAGATATCAATGGCGACGTTGTTAGGACGTAAAAGCGCTGCTTGGGTATGGTTAATGTTCAGAAGATTTTTTTTGATATCAAGTAGTATTTTCCGAAATATTGCATATTTAAGTTTTGTAGTAGGGCGATTTGAGTACAAAATGAATTAAGCCCAACAATAATCATTGAAAATTATTAACTGAAATTATTTTTGCAGGAAATTCAAATGTAAAGAAATGCCCAAGTAAACTTCGTCCGATAAGTTTCCACCTGTCCGTCCGAAGGTAATGATGCGCAATAAGAGCCGATACGAAAATGGCTAAACCCAAGAAAGTGTTGAAAATAATCTTGGGTGTCGTTATCGGAGTACTGTTTTCGCAATTATTCGCGAACACGACCAATTTTTGCACACCGCATTTCGCTTTGAAAACCGAAAAGTTGGACGATGCCGACTTTGTCGCGGGAAAGTCCACGCCGAGGAGCAAAAACTTACTTTTTGTTGGTAAGTAATTTCTTGTATATACTATTCACAATCTGTAGTCTAAAGGTACAGGTAAATTTATCACCTTTCCTTATCAAATAGCATTGTAAGGTGATAAATTTTACCTGTACCTTTGGACTACAGATTGTGAATAGATAATAGTTTTGTGACGAAAATAATTAGTCATTTTTCGTTTTACCTAAAATTTAAGTTGTAAAATGCAACAATTGCGGAAATATCTATAAAGATAATTGCTGTTATAACTGTTATTTATAACATCATTAAAATTATACATTTTGCAATCAAGCAAATAATTTTATTTTGACGATGACTTTATATTTTATTGGTGTAAAATCTAAATTACCTACGTGAAAAATGTATTTTGTTTCGCTACTATACTTTTATTGTTAAATTGTTTTATTTTTTTATTGTTGTTATAACATTAACCGTAACCGTGTATAAAAAAACTGGTATATTATATAACATTTTACCCTGTATAAAAATTTTACTGGATAAATTTTTAACAGGCAAGGTTAAGATGCGAATGATTCAGAGAAAAACCGGAAAGTATCTGGGTCAGTTTATTGATCGAGGCATCCAATTGCAAAATTTCATGAAAATTGATTTTTCCCGTTACGACACTAGATTTCAATGAATTGGTCATTTGAATAAACAATAAATTTACCCAAAGTTTTAATTCTGACATTACCTATACGATCGGATAAATTTCCTTCTTTTGATAGTCAAGAAAAAGAAGCTTCATCATTATACTTTATAAGCTGCGTGGATTTTAAGACAGGTCCATCCACCTTTCGGGGTATAAAGCTAACCAGTTTTTATAGCGGTCCTCTATTAAATCTTCTGTAAGGTGCACCATGTAAAAAGAATTCTCGTGTTTTAGGGCGAGACAATCCTGACAGTATCAGGATGGATTATATAGGAGGTCCTTTCTCACGTCAGATTAGTTCATTTGAAAGGTCATGGTTATCAAAAGTAGTGCAAAAAATATATGCTAATAGTTCATTATTCACTGCAGAGCCGTAATTAGACCTATTCGCACTTGTGGCAGGTTATTAATTTGCGCCTCCCCCCCATATCCAATGTAAAAAAGTAGATAAGTGACATTCCTGCTTTTTTTTTGACATTGATAATATATTAACATCAGAAACACGAAATTTGAAGTACCACTCAATAACATAACATAACATACCTACATAGGTATTATGTAATAGCAAAAAACAAGTAAAGGAACACAAAAAACGAGGATTATTGACTATACAGGGTGACCGGAATAACTTGAAGTACAGGGTGTTTTTTTATATATTGAGACCCCACCTACAGCTTTTACCTTTACAGGTAGGTAGACGAAAGATGTAAATACAAAAGTTGTACAGTTTTGGCTGAATTTTTAGAAACCATGGTCAGAAATAAAATTTGAATATCAGAAATGTGAAATTTTGCATGTTTCCAGCTTTTTTCAAATGGGATGCCCTATATTTCATTCTACATTCTTGAAGAACACAATGTTCCGATCTATATTTCAATAGGTATTTGGCTCCAAAAATTGTAAAAATACTATCCTACTACTGATTTTGTGAACCATTCTACCTGTACAGGTGAAAGCTGCAGGTAAAATTTGAGGTACTTGGTTTCTCTCTAAAAATTTTAGAATATATTGGAGACGGCTCAACCAAATATAGACAAACTATATAGTTTTGGAATCGGGCAATTGGGCATCCCATTCGAAAAAAGCTGAAAGCATGCAACATTGCACATTTCTGATATTCAATTTTTGTTTCGGACCATGGATTCTAAGAATTTAGCCAATACTGTACAACTTTTGTATTCACACCTTTCATCTACTTGTAAAGGTGAAGGCTGTAGGTGGGGTGTCAATATTTTAATTGAACAACTTATTATATAAAGTCAAAATTTGTAAGATTATTCACTTTTTGTCAATTTGCCTTTCAACAGGAATTAGTAATGTTACTGTACCAAACTAGTAACATAATGTGACAAGTTATTCAAGTACAAATGAGTGAATTGTTGCGGAACTTATGGGTGGACCTCTGCGGGACGAGCGCAGCGAATTCCGCAGCCATCTATTCATCAATATGTTATTTAATTACAATACTAACCTGACTCACTAAAATGTGAGTTGTTCTCAATAGTTTAAAATCTACACGTTTCAGGTGAATGTCTTACTTGGATAGTTCAACAGTATATTGATGAGTAGATGGCTGTGGAACTCGCCTCGCTCGTCCCGCAGAGGTCCACCCATAAGTTTCGCAACAATTCACTTATTTGTACTTGAACAATAACTTATTATATAAAGTCAAAATTTGTAAGATTATGATTATTCACTTTTTGTCAATTTGCTTTTCAACAGGAATTAGTAATATTACTTTACCAAACTAGTAACATAACGTGACAAGTTATTCAAGTACAAATGAGTGAATTGTTGCGGAACTTATAGGTGGACCTCTGCGGGACGAGCGCAGCGAGTTCCGCAGCCATCTATTCATCAATATGTTGTTTAATAACGATACTAACCTGACTCACTCAAATGTGAATTATTCTCATTAGTTTAAAAACTACACGTTTCAGGTGAATGTCTTATTTGGACAGTTCAACAGTATATTGATGAGTAGATGGCTGCGGAACTCGCTGCGCTCGTCCCGCAGAGGTCCACCCATAAGTTCCGCAATAATCCACTTATTTGTATTTGAAAAATAACTTATTATATAAAGTAAGAATTTGTAAGATAATTTATTTTTTGTCAATTCGCTTTTCAACAGGAATTAATAATGTTACTTTAGCAAACTAGTAATATATTGTGACAAGTTATTCAAGTACAAATGAGTGAATTGTTGCGGAACTTATGGGTGGACCTCTGCGGGACGAGCGCAGCGAGTTCCGCAGCCATCTATTCATCAATATGTTGTTTAATAACGATACTAACCTGACTCACTCAAATGTGAATTATTCTCATTAGTTTAAAAATTACACGTTTCAGGTGAATGTTTTACTTGGACAGTTCAACAGTATATTGATGAGTAGATGGCTGCGGAACTCGCTGCGCTCGTCCCGCAGAGGTCCACCCATAAGTTCCGCAATAATTCACTTATTTGTATTTGAAAAATAACTTATTATATAAAGTCAGAATTTGTAAGATAATTTATTTTTTGTCAATTCGCTTTTCAACAGGAATTAATAATGTTACTTTACCAAACTAGTAATATATTGTGACAAGTTATTCAAGTACAAATGAGTGAATTGTTGCGAAACTTATGAGTGGACTCAGCCATCTATTCACCAATATGTTGTTTAAGTAAAGTCCGTCGATTTTAATGTGATACTCGAAAAAAATGTGAGCTGGTGGCACCCTATATCAGAACGCCAATGGTCACCTGATGACACACCTGTTATATATTTTAGGTGTTAATATATAAAAAAACTACAGGGTGTTTTTGGGGATATTGGAAACCATTGAAGATACAGGCTGGACCAAATGGGGAAAAATTTGCGGAGTGCAAGTGTCTACAAATAATGTGTCATTAACTTTTTTGAACTCGCAATAGCAACGGATATAATATTCATACATACAGGGCGAAAAAAAGAGTTTGAGCAATTTGAATTGTTCCATGTACCTACTTAAGTTATTTTGGACACCCTGTATAAGCGTAAGCTTACTAAAGGAACGCTCACACGTAGCAGTAGTCAATAGAAAGTTCAGAGGCTCAGAAATACTGTTAAAGCCGCCATATATTGAATATTCTCAAGAATAAAGTCATATACATAAAGTTCGTCTTACGAGTTTAGCACTATGGAAAGAATGCGGATAAAAAACTGCAATATGGCTTATTTGACTTCCAGTAGAATATTTTGTACTATACAGGGTGTCCAAAATACCATGGACCACCATTGGTATATCAGAAACGGTAAGGGATACGAGGGCGGTTAAATTAGAAAAAAGTTGCTATTTTCAAAAGGTATTTAAAATATATTTTCGTTGTTGCCAAATTTCTATTAGTTTCCGAGATACAGGATGATTTGTAAAAAAAAAACAGTTCTAGGTGTTTTTCACAAATCGCCCTGTATCTCGGAAACTAATAAAAATTTGGCATCAACGAAAATATATTTTAAATACCCTTTGAAAATGGCAACTTTTTTCTAATTTAAATGCCCTCGTATCTCTTACCGTTTCTGATATACCAATGGTGGCCCATGGTATTTTGGACACCCTGTATATATTATTAATATTTATCTATGTTACACAGTTACATTTATAAGGAAAAAGTATTATTTAAAAACGCTGCGCGCACGCCTATAACAGGCAGCATAAAGTTCGAAATGATTGGCGTTATTCCCCCTTGCCCTTCAGACGTCGTGGTGCTAAACTCGTAAGGTGAACTATACTTTGCAACATTTGTACCTAAAGGTCTCATTTCGATGAAATTATCTACCAGTTGTTCGCCTTGGGATTTTAAAAATTCTATTTTATTTCCAATTGTAGCTTTTATTTAAACCTAAGTGGCATTCACACCAAAGTAGCATGCGACGTGCGACTTGCTGCTAGAAAGCAGGAAACACGCAAACTATCAAAATATACGACACGTCGCATTTTTGCGACGCCACTCCGGTGTGAAATCTGCCATACATTTTTGGAGATTCTAAAGCATGCTTCTTGCTTTCTGACAGCAAGTCGCATGCTACTTTAGCGTGAATACCCACTTATAGTAATTTCCTCGATAGCACGACCATTGAGAAAAACCGAAATCAGCTGTCACAGTATTAAGACCAACAAATCCTTCTTCAATCTCATCTCACAAAAGTCTCTGACAATTTGCAAACTGTCAGTAAGCATCGCCCATACAACATACAACATAAATCGTTAAATTAGCTGAGTGATTGTTTCTGACAGGTTGCAAACTGTCGGAGACTCCTGTGAGAACAGACCTATAATTGCCTGAATTACTTTAGTCTATGTTGAATTACTTACAAGAGTTCAATGTCCAAATGTGTTTTGGAAAAGATGGGCCTCGTCATTTCCTTCCTCACCTGGCATTTTTGGTTCCTATCTTCTTCTGGGTTGTTTCTCAGTACCATATCAATAAATCAATAATCAATATCTATTTTGCTGAATCAAGTATAAAATCCGGAAAGCGCTCTCTAAACTTTTGGTGTGTTGCGCAAAAAGCGCTTTACGCTTGACGATTAGTGTCAGATTGCGTCCTTCTGACGCTGCGCCCGTGGCAAATACCACCTTCGCCACGCCCTAGTTACGGCACTGATTCACTGTGTGGAATTTAAATATTTCGAAAATCTCAAACTTTCTATCAGTCAGTAAGTGTCTATCTTTCAATTTAAATAAGACAGAGTGTTTTTGAGAATATGCATTTAGGAAATCGTATATCTACCTATACAAATTTCTTATTTGTAGGTGTCATGACAGCCGATATTTACTTAGACACTCGTGCCAAGGCTGTATGGGAAACATGGGGCAAAGAAGTTCCCGGAAAACTGCTAATATTCGCCTCAGAAAATTCAACAAGCAAACACGTGCCTCTTGTATCGCTTCTGGGCACCGACGACAGTTACCCGCCTCAGAAAAAATCATTCACCATGTTAAAATATATACACGACAATTTCATAGATCAATACGAGTGGTTTTTGAGGGCCGACGATGACGTGTATCTCAGAAGTGATAAAATCGAGGAACTTCTGAGGGCTGTTGATTCTAGGAAGGCGCTTTTCATTGGTCAGACCGGTCGAGGAACCAAAACGGAGAGAGGACATCTATCTTTAGGTATGTTCGTTTTTAATAATTATTACCAATTAGGAATCAGAAATTATTGTATGTACCAAAATTAGTTTAAAGTTATTTTTATCGTGGGTTTATTTTTCATGAATCGACTTTTATTATCAGCCTAAAGACTTAAAACTTGCGATAATGGCTAATCTAAATCCCAAATTGCGTAATTGTCGTTATTAAACAAATTTATACGACGAGCTTCTATTTGAAACATTTAAGTCAATAGGGTATATTGACATTTCGTTTTTCTCTTTTCAGATTCAGATGAAAATTTCTGTATGGGGGGTCCTGGCATGATAATGAGTAGAGAAACCCTAAAAAGAATGGCACCGCATATAGAAAAGTGCATAGTCAATTTGTATACCACCCATGAAGATGTGGAAATCGGCAGATGCGTCAGGAAATATGCTGGAGTGTCTTGCACGTGGAATTACGAGGTAAGATTCAGGATATTATTAATTTTTAATGCCAACAAATCTAATTTTTATCAGTTCAATATTGAATTGGTGAAATAGAGGCAAAAGTACTTGCCCTTTACTTCCCAAATAACAATTCCACTTCAATTTACATAGTGTTTTACCTGATAACGTCAGTACGTCTTCTTCACAACCGAAATACAACTAAAATGTGGAATAAAGTTTCGGTCGTGGAGAGATTGTTAGTTGAAGTCATATTGAGATAAATTCAAAGACATCGAAATAACTTCAATCTAGTTGAACAGCAACATTTCAAAGCTAGCCTAGCCAAATTAGGTCTTTTGACGACGTTGCAGCGACGTCCAAAGATTACTTTCATTATTTTAGTCGGAACACTATGGCAAATTATTTGTACCTACGTTACTTGGAATGAAATTATTGCTTTTTATGCTGGTAGTCAAAATATCGTTGTGCTGCGACTGTAGTTGTAATACAACTACTTTAAGACCTATTCTGAAGTTGAAAAAGGTGCAGATAGCTTTGTAACACAGATAAATGTAGGGGGTTGAACGTCGAAGGGCATTAAGTCCTTTCAATATACAAATATTATTGTTGAAATTATATTATTTCTTCACCCAGATAGCACACAAACGTTCCTAAGTGGTCCACAAACGACATTCAAGACGTCTGCTTACGTCTTCGAAGCGTCTTAAAGATCTGTTACAAAACCCAACGTCTTGTTGAACCTTCTAAATGGCTTATTGAACTTCTAGTGTTCTAACTTCGTTTGAAGAGTTCTGGAGCATTTTAGAAGTGTTTCAGTAATTTCTAAATTGTTCTGACAGATTTTTAAATGTTTTAGAACCCTATTTCGAAGCTCGAAAGTGGTTCTAAATTGTTCCAAAATGCTCCTGAAAATTCTGATTTGGATTTGAAATGTTTTGGGTCTGTTAAAGGTCTACAGCAATCTAAATTTGCTCTTCAAAGCCTTCTGAAAGGAGTTTTGTTACTTTTAACCTGAATCCAAAGACTCTATAGCGCTTTCTAAAATGTTTCTGGAGATTCTAGAGTGTTAGTGTGAGTATTCTGGACCGTCCTAAAATGGGTTTCAAAGTTCTGAATTATTCTAAAATGCTTTTGAAAACGATTTTTGAATATTTTGGGGCATTTTAAAATAGATCTGAAATTTCCAAAATGTTCTGGAGCATTGCAGAATGCTTTTAAATATTCTAAATTGAATAAGTGCTTTGAACTTTCCAAAAGACTTCTAAATGTTCTATAGCATTCTAAATAGTTTCCAGTACCTAACTTTTAAATTGAATGAGAAACTAATTCTGTGGAAATTTTTGTAGAAATCTTGAAAACATCCCTTTAAAATCTCCACAAACGACATTCAAGACGTCTTGTTTACGTCTTTAAGACGTTGTATTTTACAAAACCCAATGTCTTTCAGACGTCTGCCTGAAGACGTCTTTAGGACTAAGACATTCTGAAGACATCTCTTAAAGAGATCTATCTCTTAAAGACGTCTTTGAATCTCTGTTTAATACATAAACCATTATTCACTTTTAAATCCGGTAAAATCAAATAATGCATATGGCTCAGTGTGGCTCAGTTATCCTTAAGATGTGAATTTACGACATCTTATAATGGACATCTCCAAAACAACGTCTTCTAGACGTCTTTTTTTGGTTTTCAGACGTTCAGACGTAATGCAGACCTAAAAAAAAACGTCTTCAAGACTTTGTGTGCTGTCTGGGTGATGGCCTGGAATACTCAAAAACATGTAGTTTCATTTGTCTACTTAAATTAATCCAGTATCTAACTCCAATAATCACTAAGTATATAAAAATATAGCGTCTTAACCAAACTATTAATCATCTCTCGAGACAAAAAGTACCTATTAATGATCTTGACAATATAGGTAATTCCGAATTTGCATTATTAAAACATTTATATAATATACTATCGTTGATATTATTTATAGCGTAAGTTCGACGTTTAACAACAAATTTTTACCAACATATAATGTGTACAAGTATAATTAACACAATTTCAAAGTTTCCCTTTAAATTATTCTATTCTAAACCTGTCAAGAAACATTGTAGTCAGCAGTTACAATTAAATTACAATCAATATTTGATGCTAATATTAACACAATGGCGTATACATTATACATAATGAGACTATTGTCGGTAGACAACATTACTTTTCATTAAAGTTCAACGATATTTTACCATTGGCAATGATATTTTTTTACCCCTTAAATTTTATAAAAAATGCTTCTGTAGTTAAAAATTTAAAATGAGCTGTAGTGAATATTTACAGCCATAATTACCTACCTACCAGATTATGAATGATATCAAATATAACTACAATCAGGCCATTTCTCAGTAAGTGTCTTTTGATTAATAAAAATTTGCTGATTTCTTTTTTTTTTTCTAATATAAAATGTCTGAGAAACCTTATGGTGATATCTGATATTCATAGAAAAATTATTAACACTCAGTCTAATATTTACCCATAATGTTGCTGTTCTCAAAAACCTTATCAATATTATTAACTGAACTGAACTGACATTAGCCACTTTTATTATTAAGCAAAATATATTTAATTTTAATTAATTGAAATATCCCAGAGTCCAATTATCAATTACCTTGACCCCAACACCATCGATATATTTATTATACAAAAAAATGGATTTATGATTAAATTTAGTTGAAGCAAACGTTCATTGTTTATAATTTGACATAATTTATGCTCTATCAGGGTAACGTTCAGTTAACTGGAAAATCGTCATTATGGTACTGGTACGTAATTTATCTAATTCGGTATCGCTGTTTCTAATTTGACTACTGGAACCCGAACCCATCAAATTGCTTTGATGCTAAAGTAAATTACTGTAATCGAAGCGGCGACGACTAAATATTTAAACAACTAATTATAAGAGATTTTTTTAACGGTTATATGATTAAAAACTTATTGTTTAGTTACAGTAAATGAATGGACTTTAAAACGTCTATGGACATGTTAAAATGATTATTTCAGTATCATCAAATTGTCGTAAGTACCATAATCAATGCTCGTGCGCTAAAGCGAAAATTTCTCACGCCTTTTACGTTAACAATATCCTGTAGTCATCAGAGGCTATATCATTAGACGAGATTATTCACTTTGCAAAATTACCGTTTTTACTTACTGTCAATTTTTTTCTCATTCATCATGATAACAAGGCACTTGCTTGCATTTTACTTTGCCCTTGCCTGAAATAATTTTATATCGATGTCAAGATTGTTAGAATTCCAATGGTTCATTTTTAAGACCGGATTCGAATATTTTAAATATCCAATTTGTTATACCATTGACACTGAACTGAAACATTACCAGCTGCCTGCATTTCCTTTGTAACCTGAAACTTATTGCACATTTCAATAATGGTTGTTACAAAATTGCCTTTCTTGTGTCTGAGGGCCTTTAGTACTCCATACACTAAATTATTCTGAGATGGAGTCTGATTCTATGAAAAAGACACTCAGAAACATTGAAAAATTGATAAATCACCCCAAATTGCTTAACACGATTTTATTCCTGGAACTATAAGTCCATATGAGATAAAATTTTCAGGGATTGGAGTTGTCTACTAAGATAAGAAACCAACGACGTAGCTATAGCTTTCACATGGGGGGGTTTATAGCAGTAATGGCCGCTCATGGTCTATGCTGGAAAGGGTTTCAATTTTAGACCAGACGATGTATAGGCAACCGGGCGTAGCATAGTCAGAGCTGTTTCGAGTACAGGCAAAATGTACTCGGCTACCGGGTACAAGTACTTAGCGTAGAATGTTATTGAGTACAGAGTACAATTACAAGTATTCAATACCCAAGTATTCAAAGTACCGTGTACATTTATGAATACATTCTAATACCACCTTGCATTCCTAACCAATGATGTCATAGGTACAAGTTATTACGCAACGTCCCCATTTAAACAGCCTTGATCTATCATGGAAATCTAATGAATCCTCATAGGCTGCAAGCGCTGAGGTAGCTGCGAACTGCACAAGGGTTATGACGTCACCTCCCCTTTCGCACTTCCGTCACATTTCCCGAAATTTACCATCAAACCGCCGGTATAGATGTTCACACATCAAAAATTGAAAAACACATTTTGGTTTACTAAATGAATTCAGCAATTTTGAAGTTTGATTTGATTATCCAGAGTCCAGAGTTTATAAGGACTCGGTTATAACTGCACAAATTATAATGTATAATTATATATTCTGGATCAGAATTAAATTATCTTTAAGAAAGAATAAGATTCAATTCTCTATCTCAAATACTTCTGGAGATATTGAGGCTCAAAGTCAAAACTTTGTCTCAAATTTCACAAAAGATTCAAAACTGATTTTCTTGAAAAGGATAACGCACACCTAACATGGGATTTTTGGGCTCTATGGATTTTGCCCATTTTTTGATATGTTGTAGAGGATTCAATTCTGAACAACCTTTAAATGGGATGAAATCTTGTAGGTATTACGGTATTTGAGATATGAGCGTTGAAAGATGAACTTTTTTGCAACTTTTTGTGTGGAGAGTATACGAAAAACTGGTGTTTATCAGTCAAAATTTTGACAGGTCGACATTTTTCACGTCACTAACAAATGTCAACATAGGCTAAGGCCGCGACCGCACTGGCGCCAACATTGACCCCAGTGCGGTCCCGGCCTTAACCTAAGATGACATTAATTTTTGAGTGACGTAAAATATGTGAACCTGTCAATATTTTGACTGATAAACACCAGTAGCACCAGTATCTCGTATACTCTCCACACAAAAAGTCGCAAAAAAGTTCATCTTTCAACGCTCATATCTCAAAGACCGTAATACCTACAAGATTTCGTCCCATTTAAAGGTTGTTCAGAATTAAATCCTCTACAACATATTAAAAAATGGGCAAAATCCATAGAGCCCAAAAATCCCATGTTAGGTGTGCGTTATCCTTTCAATAATCTGACAATAGTC